GATATCCGCAATGCTGAAGATATTATACGGAAATTTTTTGCATTCAAAGAAAAAGTCAATTTTTACCGTAAAAGCCAAATTCATTACAATTAAAAATGTTTTACAGTCCAAATACAGCTAAAAAGTGCCGTAAGGAATGCATAAATGCATTTCCCCAACCGATTAATGGGTATCCTTTGCTCTTAAACACTGCAACTCTAGCTGGAGGTACTAGCTGCTGCATTCGGGGCTGCCAGCTCTCATCTTTTGCTTCTCTGCTCAACGTTTTGGAAGCGCTTTTTGCCAATCTTTCGGTTATAAATCAATCCCCGAGGCTCTGGCTACCGTTTTTCTTGGGGTTTGTGTTGCTGTTTTGGAAAGAAGAAAAGAAGAGGCACACAGAGTGCGAGAGGGAGGAGAATAGAGGAGCTGAGAGGAGCAGAATATTTCGGTGTAATAGTAAATTATAATTAGAAAAGAGCAAAGACTGGATGACTGGAGGAGGAGTGCAGGGGTGCAGGAGTGCAGGAGTGCAGGAGTGGGGACTAGGTTAGGGTTAAGGCTGTCTTTAACCTGTTGAGTGCCTCGGCAGTAAATCAAAAGCCCAAAGAAGGCGATAAGCCACCGAAAAATACTAGACACAACAGACGAAGAGAATTCTCTGGAGAAACTACTGCAGGAGAACGAGGAGAGGGAGTAGCCGAGGCTGAGGCTGACGCTGAGGCAGGGTTCCCCCCCTCACCCCACCTTGAGAGTTTTTGCCAAATGAAATTTATGGCATATAAATTATCTCACACGTTCGCCGGACTATTGACAGCTTTAAAATAATCGTAAAAATGGCCAAGAAATCATAAAAAAAAGACAGCAAAAAGCAGCAGAAACAAAAACAAAAACAACAAGAACTGAAACTGAAACTAAGGGAAAAAGTAAACCGAAGCGAGAACCAGAACCAGACGCGAGAGACAGCAAGACAGAGGCCATGAATGTGAATTACTATTTCAGTTTTCGACCTAAAAGCGGCTACAAAATGAGCAGACGACAGTGGGGCATGGAGAGTCAGAGGCAGACCCAGCAGACCCAGAGGTAGTGGCAGTGGGCAGAAGGGAGAGGTGGAGGTGGAGGAGAGTGCGCTCCACTGTCAGACAGGCGACGACGTTGCCCCCAAACCCCGAAAACCCCAAGCCAAAAGCCAAGCCCCAGAATTTTGCAACAGAAATTGAAAAGTTCCCAACAGTTGGGGGGCCACTGGAGCCCGACGTCATAACTTCCATGAGAGAGCAAGAGACAGGAACAAAAGAGAGACAACAGCAAGGCACAGAGACGTCTATTTGCAGTGTAAATGTTCCCATAACCAAATGGTCCCAGGTACAGGAAAATAGTGAAGAAATACAAAGAAATCAAAGTACATATTTTTAAAGAAATTCATCACAAATAATAAGCAAAAAGGAAATGCTACACTTAGAGAAAGGAAATTTAGTTTTTATATTTCTCTGGTATTTGTCGAGGTGTTTGCTAAAGGAACAGGATTTTTCCCATTTTCATCTTAGGGGAATGATGTGGGTGAATGAAGGGTGCCCCATGAAAGCACGTCCACTCTGCTACAAATATCATAATATCATCATAAAGTAATCCTTTGCCTGCCACCAATTGGGCTAAAAACAAAAGATATGCAAGGTATGGGGATATGCATATTTTTGTGTATACCACCTTTTTATTCGATTGAGAGACCATTTTCTATATGCAAGAAATTTTCGGACATCTCTCGCTCATTCCCTATCCGATTGCCATAGTTTTTGCTCTGTCTTTTAAGCCTTGTGAACCATCTACGATTCGTACTCTGGTATCCTACCCCTTAGATCTATTCTTGCAGGTCTATCTACCATTTGGATGGGGGGATTTTATTGTTGTAACTTTTGTTGGGGAATTTGAAAGTTGAAACTGAATTTGAGAACTGGTTTCAAAGGGCTCGCCCCGTCTGATCTTTGTGGGGGCCACCGAAGAGGCTCCCGCGACTACTCAACGCCTTATTATGCATGGCAATTTATAGGGCAAGAACCGCCCTCACCCTCCAGAGCCTAGACAAAGAACCCATAGATACCCCCACCCCCCTGCACCACCACAGCATTGTGTGGAATGGGCAGCAGCATTGCTAAATGCGGCAGCAGCTGCCGTGTGTCTACGCTTTTTGCTCCATAAATCAATGAAAGGATCCTCCAAAACGAACCTGCTAGAGACGACGACGCGGACGACGACTGATGATGATGAAGGAGGCATGCACCTTCTATGCTTCTTGTGGCAGGCAGCAGATCATAAAAAACTTGAAAGAAAATGCTAAAAAAAAAAATGGCAAGAAAATCACATTTCACGTTGAAAGAAACAGCAGCGGAAGGAGGATGCAGCAGCAGCAGCAGCATAAGGAGGCAGTTGCAACGGAAATATTGTTGCACAGTCGATGATCATGCCTCCTCCTTTGCTGTTGCTGCTGTTTGTGGCAGTCATAAATGTTGATGAACAGCAGCGCGAACTTTTGTTAAAGGCGTTGCCTTCGAGAGCTTTTGTTGCATGTGGCATCCATCCTGAAGGTTCATAAAAATTGAAAAGATGCTTGCCATAAGATATGTGCCACAGAGACAGACAGAGAGAGAGAGAGAGAGAGAAAAATGTGCAAACGGTCAGCGGAAAACGATAGAAAGAGGTTCGAACAGGGTTTACCCTTTCAAAATGAAGGAAAAACGAAAGAAACTTGAAAAAAGATCAGAGAAAAATTATCAATAGTTTTTTTCTAATAGAAAAAGTCTATTAAAAAAAATCTTCAAAGAACAATCGAAAAATGGAAACATACTGCTCCTACGATGGAAAATGATTCGATAAAATATATAGAAATCAAAGAAAAATTCTTGGGAAAACTCAAAGAAATCTCAGAACTAAGTTCTGGTGTAAGAATTATCTACGAATGGAAAACATGGGAGGGCATAATATTTAACTTAAAGTTCAACCAAAAATCCTTCTCATAAGTATCTTAGCCAAGAAAATATTAAAAATTTAAAGAGCATATTTTCAGACATTTTCATAGGTTTTTCACGGCAGTGGAAAAGCCTATGAGGAGGACCTATGGCTTCCTGAACATCCATTTCAGCGTTCAAATGTTGACAGCCACCGACTCCGCCTTTTGTTCCCGGTCTTTGGGTTAACAATTTATGGTGGAAAAGACGGAGAATGAGCAGAAAAATTAGGAGGAGGAAGGAGGAGCAGAATGAGAAGCAGGAAGGTGTCTCCCACTTCTCTAGGAGACTCTAGGTACTTGTAGATTTATTCCCTTCTTCTGAACATGGAAGCAGAACTAAGCAGACATTTGAAAATCCTCTACAAATTCATATTTTACATCATTCTCCTTCCAAAGAGATCACCAATTCTTTGAGCCTCAAATTTTCAGAGCAATACCCTTTCTCTTGCTGATTTATTCGTTTTTGTTGTTGTTAGAAATTAAAGTTTTATTTCGTTTGTTTTTTTTTGCGGAAATTAAAGTTTGTCGTCATCAAAAGTGAAAATTTGACGTGAGAGCAAATGAAAATAAAACAAAAGCCAAGAGGAAAAACACGAAACAGAAATAGAAAGAGGGGACGAAAGAATAGTGGCAGAAGGGAAGGGAAGGAGCAGAAGTAGGAGAAGCGGAAAGAGAGGAATAAAAACTTTGACAACTGCGCAAAACTTTTTGTCGACCAAAAAAACAGCAAAATCGAAACACAAAAAAAAAAACATTGAAAAAGAAGAACAAAATAGAAGAAAAATAATAAAAACAAAAGAAAAAGAAGAGGGAAAAAGCGAGAGAAAAACAAGAGAAAAATAAAGGAACTTTTAAGAGGCATACAAAATGGTCTCGTGCGGAAAAGAGACAGGTTCCAAGCAGCAGCAGCAGCAGCGGGACACAAAGAGAAAGAGGGAGAGAGATGCAGAGAAAGCGATAGATTCCCCACGCCCCACGAAAGGAAAACTAAAGTTCAAAAAGTGCAAAAAACTTTTTTCTGTTGCTGTTGCTGCCCCAAAAACGTAGCCGTTGCCATTAACCCGCTACTGTCACACAACACTCTTAACCCATGAAAGACTTTTAACACAAAAATAAGTGTCATTAACCGATTGCTGGGGATCCCCAATCTAAAGTCCATTTTATTTGAAAAGGGTGAAACATTTTTAAGTCCATTCTAAATCCATAGAAAACCTCCATGAACATGTGGAAAAAACCTATGGAAAAACTCTTGGAAATTCATTGTCAATGGCAATCCATAGAGAAAACCACAAAAGTCCCAATGAAATCCATAGATTATGGCAATCCGAATTCTCTAATAGCATTTGGGTATAATATTTTTGAGGCCCCCAAACAGGTGGCTTTGATAAACTCATGTGAAACCCCAAAGAGCCACACGGAACCCACAAATATGTGTATCGAATAGCAGAAGATGAGACGAGGCGAGCCCAAGAAACTAGACATACATATGCACTTATGTACATACATAAAACCCATAGAACAGTCTTATTATTGGATAACCCTATGTAACCCTTCAAGGAAAGGAATATATGGTCCTTCAAAGACCTTCCTAAAAACCTTAGATCATAAGGAACCTTGTGAATTACGAGCAAAGGTATTCCTTAAGGTATTCTTCGCAAGACAGAAAGATCTCCATACATGCAAATTTATATACACCATGGGATGGGGATGCACCAAGGAACCGCCAAGGAGAGCAATGAACCCATAGAATCTATGCAATCCAAAAAGTGTTAAGGGTACTCCTGAGGATCTCAGGAATCCATGGAACCAACCATGGAATCCCAGTATTACCGAGATCTATGGAGAAAAACCGCAGGAAAATCATGTGGTGTGGAAACCCTTGCAGAGTCCCCTCTCTCTACCCAAGTGAGGTCTACAGCAAAAATATCTCCCACCATCTACAGATGAAAGATCTCCTCCTATACCATAGGACCTATATATACGTGTACTGTATATTGTCTTTGGGACGGACACTTACCGATACTGTGCTGATTTGTGTGTAGTACCGCGCCGAATGCCATTAGATCCTTGACCGGCGGTGCTCGGCTACTACCGAGGGCGGCAAAACCGTCGCCCAGAAATGACGCCAGCGCGACAGCCCTGAGGGGCGCTTTGGAGGCTTCGGTGAGAATTTTGTTGTTGAATATCTTGTCCGTGTGGGAGGAGGAGGAGGGAGCGGTAGTGGGGGGGTGTTTCTGGTGGTTGGGAGGCTCCTCCTGGGCCCTTTTCTATCGCAGAGTAACGATATGCCGCGGACAATGATTAACAACGGTACACGCACACACACTAACACACAAACGCACACACACACAGCAGAGTGAGAGAGAGAGAGAGAGAGAGAGAGAACGGGAGCACGTGTATGGAGGGGCTGTGCGGTGCCGGCGGCAAAAAACAAAAACAAAAACAAAAATTTAGCGGCCGCCGATTGCCTTTTCTTTTTGCTTTTGCGTTATTTTGTTTTGTTTTTTGTTTGTTTTAATAACTTTTTGTATTTCTTTTTGTTGCTCTCTTTTGGTATTTGTATTTGTTGTTGTTGTTGTTGTTATCCACTTGACACTTCTTCGGCCTTCTCCTTCCTTCTTCCTTTCTTTATTCCTTTTTCATTCGCTTTACACTTGAAAAAAACTTTTTTGGTTATCTCTCTGGCGCGTCGATCAAAAAAAAAAAAAGAGAAGAACCAACGGTATGGTATAAGCGGTACACGGGGATCCGATCGCGACGATAACAGAAAACAGCTGACGCGAGAAATCTCTTGGAGCTAACGGACTCTGGGCGACTCTGTTTCTCGCTTTTTGTGGGGCGGCTGCTGCGGCGGCGGCTGCTAACTGCTGCTGCTGCTGCTGCGTTTCAATGTGCGGCGGTTCGTGCGCTTCACGCGAACTCCAAAACAAAACTGTAAACGGCGACGGCACTGCAGTGTGCTACGCGCTGCTGCTGCTGCTGCTGCCAGGCAAAACGCACGCAAGTCGTCGTCGGCTCTTCAGACGACCGACCGACTCGGTCGAGGCGACGAGCGACGAAAGCAACGACGAATGGCAGAGGCCGCCTAGTCCAACCGAAGAGTGAGATCGCATGCGCGCACTCACACGCGCGCTCTCGCTCTCCAAGGCAAACACTCGCGCCAGAGCGAGACAACTAGCTAGTGCCGGCCTGTCTGCTGCCATCTGCTGACAGCGCGCTCTGCCGCGCTGCTTTGTATGCTATGCTCTGCTTTGCTCTGCTGCTGCCGCTGCTGCTGCTGCCACTCAATGCCGCTGCCTACACGAAATAGCAATGGAGTCAGAAGAGCAGTTGCTGACATTTGTCGCAGTCGCAGTTGACTTTGGGCTGCGGTTAGAGGGGGCGTTGCTAAGCAACTGGTTTTTTCGGTCGCAATCGACGAGACGATGCGCAGCGTCGGCGGCGGTGGCGGTCGCGGCGTAGAGAGCTTTTTTACTTCGGGGGTCGGGCTCTGGCAGGAGGAACCAATGGCATTTTTCAAAGTGACATTTGTCCGCTTTTTGCTTTTGCTTTTTCTGTGTGTTTTCTGTTTTTTTTTTTTTTTTTTTTTTTGTATTTGTGTTGTTTTTGTTACAGTTTCTATCTCGCTCTCGTCTCTCTCTCTCTATCTCTCTTTACCCCTCTCTCGCTCGCTCACACCCTCTCAAGGTAAAATGTCAAATGCTTTTCGACTGTCAACTGTTGGTCACAAAAAAAGTTTTCTTTCTTTCTTTTTTTGGTGTTGTTATCCTTAGAAAAAGTTTTGCTGCCCGACACTGCTGATGCTGCCCAAGCTTCTGCTGGCAGCCTGCAATTGTTGCTGTGGTGTGGGGGGGCCACTTGTCGTTAGCAGCGTCGCTGGCAGAGCGGCGGACACGGCTGCGGGGGACGCGGACGAACGCCCCTTTGGCGATTTGGAGCCCGCTGCTCTGCTACGGGCCGGCCTCTGCTGCTACTGCTACTGCTCTGCTCTGCTCTGCTTTTATGTGTGCATTTTGTATGCCGGCTGCGTGGTTCGCATTTCGCATTCAAACGGGACATGGTAATAAGCCAAAGATCAAGCGCAATAAAAATGAACGAAGGAACGAACGGAAAGAAAGAAACCAAGAAAGCAAGAAGAAGAACAAAACAGAAGGAGAGCGCACCAGAGGCAGAGACAGTGAGGGAGAGAGAGAGACAGAGTGTGGGCAGTGGGTGGCGCTTTCTCAATGCTTTCGACTTTTGTCTCTCTCACGCTCTCTCTCTCTCCGCCGCCAGCAGCGACAGGCAGCATCTTCTGCCGACAAGGGTGTGCTTTGCGGGGAGGGGTGTATGAAGTATGGTTGTATCGGTGGAATTGCTGGGGGGGTTGGGTTCAAAAGTATTGCACATTAGGGTGTTAAGCTGTGAAGTGCTTGTGGACCCCCCCACCCACACACCCACACACCCACACACACACACCCTCTACGGCAGTGTCTCTCTTGCTGTCACTCTTCCTGTCTGTCTTTGTGTGTGTGTGTTGTTGGTGGGGGGCACGCTCATTTGTCTGATGTTTCACTTGTCACTGTCTCCGCCACCCTCTCTTGTCCTACGCCCCCAGTGACACGTGCTGTCTATGTTTGTTATCGAAAAGCTATCGAAATCATTTGATCTACGCCTTTCTGTGGGGTGCAGCGTGGGAGAAATGTTGTAGCCTTGTGGCCTTGAAAACAATTTGCCCCAAATTCACACAGAAAGAGAAAGAGAGAGACAGAGGTGGCAAATATTTTGAAGGAAACTTTTTATTTTTGTGAAACAAACTTTTATGAGGATGCAATTTTTTGGGCTTTATTTTTCCAATGGGAAATTGGGTGGGGGGGGTGGACTATTTGAAATAATCAGAGAAGGGGCCTCCACTCCTTTAACAGAAATATGTATGTATATTCATTTTAAGAGTGGTAATCACAATATGTTTAATTAACATGGTAACGGAACTGTTGAAAGGAGAAACCAAATTGAAATTATGGATAATTTTCTAGTAGGGTTTTCACAACCAAAATTCCCAAAATTTTGGGTTAGAAATTATTCCAAAAAAAAACTTATGATAGTTTAATAATTTTGAGAGGTGCTAATAATGGCTAAAGAAAATCTTTCATTGAATGTAGAGTTCAAAATTGCAAAAATTCGTAGTAGGCATTCCATTTAAAGGGGAAAACCAACCAAGTCGCGTAATACCCTTTTTGGGTAGCGTATTTGCAGACAAACAAGTTGGCGACAATGAAGGGAGCCCCGCCCACTGTCTCAGCTTGCTAGGGGGACAAAGGTGATGTTAGGGGTTGGGGGGTCGATGGTCACAATAGCAACAAAAACAACAGGACAAGCGCGACGAACTTTGCGACGCGCCATAAACTTTTGGCAGGAACTATAGATGGAGAGGGGGTTGAGGGCGATGAGTGCCCCAGAGAGGGGCAAAAAAGTAGTGGCTGTTGCAGAGCAGAGGGAAGGTTTCAGATGGAGGGATGGATGTGGTAGGGAGGTGGATGTCATCCTTCTACAAAAACAAAGGATGTTCGTAGGCCTCCCCACCCGCCACCACACCATTTCGGTAGTTCTTGGGAGTCAAGTGGCTGTACACACAACCCCCCCTCAAACCCCCTATTATACTACACCCCGCCCCGACCCATCTGCAACAATCCAGAGAAGGAGATGGGATGGCGATGGCCCCCCTGCGACCAGTCACGAACTGAACAAACAGCAAACGGACGTCGCCAACATGCCACAAGGAGGGGCACGACAGAGTGCGGAAGGGGGAGGATGGGGGCTCGATCGCAGGGCTCTGATATGCAAACACAAGCTTTAGCAAAGTTCCCCCCTATGCCCTACCCCATGCAACTACACCCATGAAAAATACAAGAAAATTCAAATAAAAAAAAGTTCAAGGAAAAACCGAAAAAAAAAAAAAACTCCATGCCGCCATGTGGGCGGTCGATGCTCGCTGAGCGGCCACGCCTTAATGCGGGCGGTGGTACTGCATGCAACACTAACGAAACAAAAAAAAACAACTGCTGCATGCAACAACAACAACAGCAACAGCAAGAGGTGTCGGCAAGAGGGAGATGGAGTGGGAGTGGCACGAAGCCAAAGCACAGCACAGCACTGAAATCTCTGCTGTGTTTCGGTGTCACTTTTGCTTGTTTGTTGCTGCTGGGCGAATACTTTTTGCAAGTAGTGTGTGTGTGTGTAGAAAGTGCATACGCAGCAGGGTGGGGAAGGGGGAATACAGGGAATCAGCAGTGTAGAACGGATGGAAGATTGGGCAATGGGAATATGTCTTAAGGGAATACTTTTCAAAGAAAGAGAGAGAATCAATAGAAGCCAAAAGGACCAACACCAATCACCTACTTAATGTGCCATTCCTAGACCGAGGGACGCTGCTGCATGACGCGCATGCATCAAATCTCTAGATCCCATTTTGTTCATGTCTTTCTGGTGTAGATTTATCGTATCCTCAGCCTTTCCATTTCCTTTCCAATCCAAAAGTTTTATTTTACCTATGTACTTATGTACATATATACATAATGATACCCTGTTCTCCCATCTAGAAAAACTTTTTCCCCATTGCATTGTTGAAAGAAATTTTTCGTCATTTCCTTTTCTTATTTGTTTGTTTTCCTGTAATCGGGGGGGTCCTTCTCCCTCTATTTTCGTCCCTCCTTTTCTGTCACTCTTTCATTTCATCTCTCTATCTCTCTCTCTCCTGGGGCTTACTACTTTCTGCTGGGAAAACTATTTTTTTCCGTTTGAATTTTATTCAAATATTATGCGATTTCTGATTTAACAAAAAACAAACAAAAATGGAGGCCACCCCCAATGCAGAAGCCCTCTACACCCCTACGTACCGCTTCACCCCTTTGCGCCCACCATCCATCCCCTTCTTCTGGCTCCTTCTAGCCCGTTCTTCCTCGCTCTTTCTTCTCTTTTTCTGTTGTTTGTTTGCTTTGGCAACATGAATGTTTTGTCACTTGGTTTTTTTCTCGTCTGTCTATCTTCTACTCCCAACCCTTGCCCCTCCCACCATAAATATTCTGCTGTGGCACCCCTCCACCCCCATGTGCAGCACCACCCCACCACCCCTCTACCAACCATCCAATCTTTCAGGGATATCTTTTCTATTTCTGACATGTTGTCAACTTCACGTAATGTCAGAAGCAAGTTTCAAGTTTTTCTCGTTGTCTCTTTGTGACATGCATGTGAAGGCCCACTACCGCACCACCC